GGCGAACCAGCGGTAGGTACAGTCCGAAACTGAGAGAAGTAGGCACCGGGACAGACAGCGAGATGCGATCGGCCTACGTGGCAGAATGGTGAGAACCGGCGATGGTAAAGAACGCGGCGTTGCGTACAAATGGAATACACAATGGGAGAGGGCCGCGGTCGGAAATAAAGTAGGAGTTTTGAGAACCCTACGGTATGGCGATCCACCCTCAACTATAACGCACGGTCTACTTGATACTGAATGTTATTCAAGGAAACTAATGTCATGAGGATATCACCCTTGAGCCACTACTAAGATGCCCGTTTATCATATTTAATCCGCAAAATGAAACTGTCTTGAGTTAGGATATTGCGCCCTTCATGCGCATAAACAGTACGTATGCCAGATTTGTACCTTAATGCGGTACATGATATATATAGTATATTATATATGCATGCGGGACCTACATGCAAGGTCTGTTTCCTATTTCCTGACAGTTGAGGTTACTGATTGAAATTTTATCTTATCAGATTATGCTTAGGATAACCGCATCTTTATTTTAATTCATGTTTGCCAAATATTGATCTTCTAAGTGGTGAGATTAGTACGCATGGCGCGAGCACACGTTTCAGACGTGGCAGTCACGGACCTAAGTAATGGTACGTAATTATACGATATGTAATATAATACATATACGAATGTACATATCATACCGAGATATTGAATAGTACTGAGAGAGCTAGCGGAGCGCTCTGCGCGTACGTAGCCTTACAAGCTTTACGTTAATCGCCGTGTGCATGCTTGTAGGTACGGATATAGGAGTAACAAGATTCTAGAACTCGATACTAATAGCAATACTTTCATATTCCCTACGCTAGGGACAGCGCTAAGCAGCCGTATAGGCCTACGGTCGCGGTTCCTGTATTCATTAGGGCTTATCAAATCGGTGAGTCATATTTTGTACTTTTTATTTTTTTTTCGATTCAGTGGAAACAAGCACAAATAACATTATGAGAAGGGCTTATAATTATGCAGGAAGCCACATGGTTGAACTTAACGGGGGGAGACATTTGATCAATTTGTACCCCCACCCAACTTCAGCAAAAAGTGGTTGGGAGGCCGCCGCTCGCCGCGAACGGCTGCGATGTCCCCCGTGTCGCGTCATTTGGGCATTTGGCTGTCCATAGATGACGTTTAAAGCGTGGTCACTCTCGCCTGTCGTTTACACCAGCTGTTGCCGCGTACGTGGTGGGCGAGTTGATTAGACCCACCTCAGTCACAATCGGGGATGCCGCAATCAACGCCGGAGCAATATTGATGCAAGTGTCAATGCCAGAGAATCCGTGACCCATCCGGATATCTTATAGATAGCATGCCGTCGCATATGTTATTGGCCGTGCGTTGTCCATTTTTCCTAATAATTCATTGAGGTATATTTTTAGCTGTTTTGCAAGATTGTTGAGTAAATATTAACGAGCTTCGAATTATGTATGGGTCGCAGGCCAAAACATAGGTGCAACAACACGAATAGAGATCTAGGACTACGCGTCAACTTATACTAGATCGCATCGCAACCAATATTTGGTGTATAGAGGTGGAAGAATATTCTGCGTCTCATACTCGGGTGTAATGGTATATATATATATATATATATGCAGCGGGAACCTTACATGCAAGGTCTGCTTCCTATTTCTGAAGTGAGGTCTACTGATGAAATTTTATCTTATAGATCTATGCTAGGATAACCCCTCTTTATTTTAAATTCATGTTTGCAAAATATTATAATCTTCTCGGGAGATAGTACGCATGCGCGAGCACCGTTTCAGACGTGCAGTACGACCTAAGTAATAGTACGTAATATATACGATATGTATATATAATACATATACGAATGTACATATCTATACCGCAGATATTAATAGCTACTGGAGAGCTAGCGAGCGCGCGCGTACTAGCCTTACAAGTTTACGTTAAATCCGTGTGCATGCTTGTAGGATCGGATATAGAGTAACAAGATTCTAGAACTCGATACTAAACAAATACTTTCAATATCCCCTACCTAGGGCACCTAGCAGCCGTATAGGCCTACGGTCGCGGTTCCTGTATTCAGTTTAGGCTATCAATCGGGAGTCATTTTTTGTACTTTTTATTTTTTTTTCTTCAGTGGAAACAAGCACAAAATAACATTATAGAAGGGGCTTATAATTATGCAGAAGCACATGTTGAAAAACCGGGGGGGGGGAGACATTTGATATTGTTACCCCCACCCTTCGAAAAGTGGGGGGACGTGTCCCCCGTGTCCGCATGGCATTAGCGTCCATGCATGCGTGTGTGTGCGCGCACGTGTGTGTGAGCAACCACCTCACGTACAATACGGGATGACGCCATCAAGAGCAATATTGATGAAGTGCAGGGCAGAGATCAGTCCAAGACATGTGCATGCATGCATGCATGCGCGTGCGAGTGTCCATTTTTTTATTTAGTATAGTTATTTTGCAAGAGTTAGTAAAATATAACGAGTTCGAATTTGTATGTCAGAGCAAAGAGAAACAACCAGATATAGAGATTAAACAATTATATAACGCAAACAAATTGGTATTATAGAGTAGATTCTCTCTATCTCTCTTGCTCCCTCCCTTTCTCCTTCTATCCCCCTTGCCTACCTCTATCTCTCTTGCTCCCTCCCTTTCTCCCTCTATCCCCCTTGCCTACCTCTCTCCCTCTTCACCTCTGTGTGTGTGTGTGTGTGTGTGTGTGTGTGTGTGTGTGTGTGTGTGTGTGTGTGTGTGTGTGTGTGTGTGTGTGTGTGTGTGTGTGTGTGTGTGTGTGTGTGTCTCAGATGGAGAAAGAGTTGAGAGTGAGATGCGAGATAAAGTAAGGGAACGATTGATAGAGAGAAAGGCAGAGAGGAAGCCAGGATGGGAGAAAGATGTGAAAGTGGCAGTAGGGAGGGAAAGGATTGTTTCTTCATAATGATTCCTCTTTGGATTGCTTATATGTGTCCTAACGACCACCCCTCATCCAAACGCAACTTCGCAGAGTAATCTCGATCCGCGATTTTACGATGTTGAGAAATTTCACGCACAAAATCGCTCTTCGGGTTATGCTGTGGGTGACGCTTGCCAACGTTCGACGTGCGACGAAATCCCGCCCAGCAAGAAAGTTTTTATGCTAACTTATTAGACGCATGCGTCTATCATACTCCCCACGTTGCGGGTGGCTGTCGGCTCTGGCACACGCGTCGGCTTATATGCCTTCTAAACTTGGTGTTAGCTTCCCGAGTAGTCAAGTTTATCATACGCGTCTGGTCAACGAAGCTGACACACCAAGTAGTATCCAATTAAGTATCACACGCACTTCACGTCAAGCTGACACGCTGATTATCATACATGTGCTATCACATGAATTTATTATGTGTTTCATTCTAAGTCAGACCAGTCTTCATCAGACCATGATATCAGGAGCTAATAATGACATTGTCAGTTGTCATTATTAGCTCCTGATGATATGTATTCATATCACATTTGCATAGTTAAAAGGTTCATATACAATATTACAAATAATGGACAATGATAATTGAGATATTGTAACCACTCGTTCGTTATACTATACATATCTATCTATATATAGCACTACACATTATATTACATAACATTACATACATTCATTATATCACATGACATTACATATCACCTATAGCAACGTTTTAAATCGGCGTTTTCTTTGTTTCACGTGTGCTTTATATATATATGTGATGCATGAAAAATTATTCACGGCTGGGATGTTACATGCTTCGTTATCTTTGCATCAACCAAAAGTAACACTCGTTCGAAACCCATCTGATCGCGTGAATGCAAATTTATATATAAACTACCTGCAATATTATAAACTACCTGCAATATATATCATAATTGCCGTGTGTGCATATAAAAGTGCAGCGAGTGAATTTCGTACTAAATCGATTTTGACTGCACTCGCCTATATGTAGGCCTACTCGCGTGCGCGCGCACACGCACGGTCACACACGCGCACACGCGCGCACACGCGCGCGCACGCACAGGCAGTCAGGCACTTGGAGCGTTTCAATAAAATATAATGCTATTAAATAAATACGAAATCTATTTACTACCAAAGTCTTAATGTTTCTCTACTCTCTTTTACCTATTATTGCCAACAATTTCCTGTAAATGCCGTCCAAATGCTCATCTGCAACACACGCTGGCTGTATATATATAGTATAATAAATAAAAAAATATAGATAGTAAATATATATTTATATGTGTCAGTGTGCAGCAGCTAGCGTGCGCGGCAGCCAGCGTGCGCGGCAGCCAGCGTACGTGTGTTGCAGATGAGCATTTGGACGGCATTTACAGGAAATTGTCGGCAATAATAGGTGAAAGAGAGTAGAGAAACATTAAAACTTTGGTAGTAAATAGATTTCGTATTTATTTAGTATTATATTTTATTGAAACGCTCCAATTAATTAAGTGCCTGTGCGTGCACGCACACGCGGTGTCACGCACGCATACGCACCACTGCATGATCTCTATATATTATATAGTATATAGAGATCAGTGATACTAGAGCAAATAAATCACCTGATTTATTAGCTCCAAGAAACGGTATTGCTAGGGTTAGAATATATGATGATAGTATTAGTGATGCTGTATATTGACGTTAGTCACACAGCCTGGTCGGGTTACTGATTTATATCATATGCTTTGGTGATACGCAGACTCACATTTTGTGAGTGTGGGGGGGGGCAAAGCAACGTACGTAGTGGTGTGTTCTGGAAACACGCACGCGCACTCGTGATATTGACATCTAATCTATATGTTCATATATATACAAATATGTCGGTCTCTGCAGGTTATCATCAGGCATAGATAATGGCCCAATGATGTCGATAAATGTCTAGGCTATGGATCAGTAAATAATTTCGTTCTATAGCCTATGTTTCTTTCTATCGCTTTTACTAGTACTAGCACAGACCACTGCACTGCACAAATGCTCTTATGTTTAATCATGGCAGCTGCCTTGCATCACTTATTTTATTTATCTCAACTTTGCTAAATAAGTTTTAATTGTTGTTTCGCTTTTCAAATGGAGCGATTACGTCATGATATAAAGTAGTCATAAGTCAGGCAAGTCAACGTTTATCGCTGTTTAGGATGTATTTGATGCGTTACTGCCAGTATAAATACTAGAACTGGTGACACTGATACTGATGCTCAAGGGGTCGTTGTCGTAACAGGTACTACAGATATGTACCCGAGGTACATATATGTATACACAAAGTGTACCAGACTTGTACTACAGAAGTGTACCCTAACCCTAACACTAACCCTAATCCTAACCCTAACCCTAACCCTAACTCTAACCCTAACCCAAACCCTAAACATACCTCATATAAAAATATAAACATAATACTAAACAACCTAAAACTACCTCGGGTACATATCTGTAGTACCTGTTACGACAACGACCCTTCGTGCGATACTGATATGGCCCTACAACTTACAAGTACAAGAGTAGCCCTAGTACTAGTACGGCTAGTAGTAGTGCTCATAGGGTCTATGTCCCCCAGGGTACTGCTGGAACGTACCCTGGGTACGGTCCGGTATACCAGAACGTACCCTGGTCACTATTTGATATGGTTAGGATTAGGGTTAGGTTCGGGTTAGGGTTAGGGAGTAGAGTCCGCTAGCGGAGCGCTATTAGAGCTTTTACTTTAGAGATTTTAGCTTTCAGATACGACACAAAGGATAAAGATGATACAACAACTAAACTAATAGATGGCAAAACAAAAAATAAAAGTCCAGACACAAAAGATAACGTATTATATGTTGAGATTTTGTGCATAGTAGCATATGCCTGCTGCTATCAGTATCAGTGGTACCACTGTGTGTTGTATAGGAGTATGTGAACAGCATGTACTTGGAAATAGAGAATACATAACTTTAAGACTGTGGTAATACATAGAGTTTGTGTTTGTTTTACTATCAAGTCATTATTCAACCAGCCCCAACTCCCTGTGCGTATCAGTGCCTGTACATATGATTTAAATGTCATGTATATAATAGGTGAATGTCTAGACACACGCTAAAGATATCTAATAATGAATAGCCTGTTTGACTTGCCCAGTCAATTTTAGATCCAGATGAGACGGATACCAGAGAAGTGTTGCCGAAAGGAGGTGTTGATTCTAACCGCTGAGCGCGGATCTTGCGCGCAGTTTCGCGGCAAGGCGCACGCTACCGCGGGAACAACAAAACTACCTACAAAAGTATGCAGCGCTAGCAGCTATGGATCCGTGCGCCGAATGCATAAGGTCGGCGCACGGATCCATAGCTGTCCAGCAAACAGTCCGGAATTTTAGCGGGGGACACAGAGGGCAGACATTTGGGACGTGGGAGGAACTCGCGACTTAGATGGGGGGTCGTACAGATGGGGGGGGGGCGAGAGCGAAGCTTTTGATTTTGCGGTGGTTCCATGTGGTCTTAGGCGTTTGGACTATAAGTTCCAAACATAAAAAGTTGCAAACATAATAAAAATCGGACCATTATTTAATGGAAAATTTGATAAAATAGTGATACGAAATAGTACGCGGATTGTGCGCCTAGTTACCTCTTTCAAATCGTACGCTGTTTAAGAATCGCCATTCGCTGCATTTCCCCGGAGCTCCGGCCACTTTAAAAATAGTGCTAGCATTGTGGCAGTGGTATCTTGAGTGTGCGAACGAGTTAGTATTTTGATTTTCGATTTTCGATGACAGCAGTAAGGCAAAAGTGCAGCATTTGAATACAGCTTACCTCATTAGCATTATATATAGTATCTAATCATTTGCTGAGCGCTTCTTTTTATATATATAAACAATTAATACATTATGTGGCATCTCTATCATCTATGTGACCTTGCCTTATATCATATGCACCCCTAGTCGGCAAATGCAGACGTTATAGCTGCGCTTTGCTAATGTGAGGGTGCGGGTTTATCATCACCCCCATTACTGGGGTCTGCGTCGGCTCGTACTAATGCACCCCTACCACTACAATCTCCCACTGCCATTGTCATTGTCAGTATCAGGAACTAGCTAGAGTAAATTGCTTGCTATATATATATATATAAGCAGGGGTTGTCTAGTTTAGGTTTCTTGGAGCTATCACTGAGGGTGATACAATTGTATCCACACTACTAAGTACTAGCACTACTACTACTACTATTATTACTATTACTAGTACTAGTTACTACTACTACTAGTACTGCTAGACTACTAGTACTCCTACTACTAGTTACTACTAGAGCTACTACTACTAGTACTAATACTATATAGTATAGTACTAGAGCTAGTACTACTACTAGCTCCAAGAAACGGTCTTTGCTAGGGTTAGAAGATCTGTGTAAACACAATTTGTTGTGTAGTGGAGTAAAGAGTGTTTATGGGGACACCACCATCTCTGTTGACCTGTGACGCAAGCATTCCCAATACGCATAGCGAGCGCTGACGCGTTAACGCAAAAAATAATCGCGAACGGGCGCTGGATGCAGTTTGGGGGGGTTATAGCTAGACTGGTACTCATTCGCCACCTTTACTCGGGCAAGTATCCTTCGCTACACTGAAGTTAGTTAGTGTAGCGTGTGCAACTGTCGACGGGGTACGAGTCTAGCCATTAGGCCAGTTATAGCCGGTTATAGCCGGCCGAGCTGCAGGATACGAGGCTATATGCATATATAGACTGGTACCCGGTGCACAGTTCGACACGCTACACTACGTCAGTGTAGCGAAGGATATATGCCGGAGTGAAGGTGGCGAACGGGTACCAGTCTAGCTATGCATATAGCCTCGTTGCGCCATCTATCGCACGCCATATGTACTACACTGATCAACAAAAACAAGCAAACAACAAAGTTGAACTGCATTTTTTACAACAAGGAAAGCACGCCGAGTAGCGAACTTCGAATTACGAGCATTTCTAGGAATTGTCTAGCTACCTGGGTAGTCAAACCCATCGTGCAATGGCCAGAACTGCTCAATTCAGTGATTGCGCCGTTTTTGTGTCTATATAGTGGACCCGTTGAAGTCGCTATTCAATCAGTGCAGCGTAGTTGTGTTAGTGTGCCGCTACGTGGCGTTTTTTGCGCTTCGCGCGATATCCGGGCTGCCGATTGTCAAGCCGGTATTCCCACTCACTCTTATGTGTCATATATATGTAGTGTGTAGACCTAAACAATAGACAAGACAAAGTTACTACAGAGTACATGCATTATACAGACTGATAATTGGGGTCCTAGAAATGTTTATAGTCCAATGCTATCTAAAAATGGCGTCAGATTATTAAAAATATATAGGGCACCAGGCCCATAGCAAGCATTCCAGAAGGGTGGGTTTTTTTTTATTAGATGGTGGATTTTTGAAGCTAGGCATCTTGTTTGTGTACTACCAGAAGCCCATCACACCTGAGGCACACTTTATCTTCATTCTGAGTATTTTACTTTTGAATGAACTGCTTACAATAATTTACAAACTATTGCACAAAATTGAATAAGTCAAAGCACATATAATCAGTGCATTGATCAGAAACCATAAACATGTCACCCTGAAATATGTGTCACCCTTATATGAGATAATACCAAGCATGACAAACCTGCTGGAACTGACAGTAGCTTCTAAAGTCTCTCACAGTATAGTGTTTACTTCCCGTTTAATTTAATGGACTGTGGGGAAGATGTTGACAGAATCTTTTAGATCTACATGATAGGTGTCAGTGCGCGTGGATCATGGTAAGAGCAGAGAGGCTATGCTTGCGCATTGTTGTTCTTATTACACTATTTTTCAATGCTTAATCTGCATTTCATGGTCAGATCATCAGACTGACTGCATACCGGCAGAATGTCAAATCTTTACGATTCCTCGAAATAATGCTGCTGCTTGATAAAAAACAATAGGAATTGTCGCAACCAACAGGTTGCACCTGACAGCTAACTGGCGCACACATACTAACTAGAAGCCCATATCTTTCTCTATTTTGTGTTTCAATCTCTTCAGTACAACAAATGCATCTTTTATTTGTTATTCAGTTGATTGAAGATAATGGTAATATTGAATAGTGTAGCACATGTTTAAACTTTAGTTAGTTAGGCAAATAACTGGCATGAATATGTTGACCACCCGGGTTCATCCCCCACCGCCCCGGCTATGGGCATGGGCACAATTTATTGGTACCGTATATATACTGAATATTGTGTCGATGTAGAACCAGCTGTACCCCATATTTATATCTACATATCACTTATATAAAATATTTTCAACAGTAGAACATATAATATTAACAGGAGTGAATAATAATAGATCTGTTATTATTCACTCCTGATATTAATATGGTAAGGTGGTTTTTTACATTATTATTATTATTAAATCTTTATTTCATGTAATTCAGATACAAATACATGTACTGGCGACAGTTTTTTTCATGGAGAAAAAATCTGATAAAAGCAATAGTGTTGAGTAGTTAAAATGTCACGTTACATTGTCAAGTTGGTACCGCTAGTTTACGAACTAGGTGCTACCTATCGGAGGATAAGGGAAGCTCTGTTAGGATATATTGTCTAAACATGTGAGCCAGCTGGATCTGGGGTCATAGTACACATTAATGAGTTCTACGAACTAATTCATAATTTCACATGGGTAGGAGTATAGTATGTGTTACGAATAACAACGTTACATTCTGATTCAAGAATGTTAGTATTGGGCTAAGGAGGGGCCTGGGGCATCTCCATAGCATGCCACACAGATCCACTACACTGCCATATGTGAGTTCAATCAGCTTAGATCACTTGATTCCATTGAGTCTAAACTTGACAATGAACCTAGCAGGGAATGTGTATAACTTTCAAATAATTGTTACACTGCCAATTGCCACACGTGTACATGCATGTATTTATGCAACTTGTGTTGGGCTATAAATGTTATAGTGTATTTGGTAGACTTGTGGATCTGTCGATTTACTTCCAAGTGGGAAAGCTTTATTGCCTACCAAATCTGATAAGTTCTCCAAATCAAGTGACTGCAGACCTTTGCTGTAAGCAATGTGCTTACTATATCATCTTATTAGTGTTCAGATTTTTGCCAGTTAGTCCGTTCATTTCTTGAAGAGGATGATCTTATGTGTTTATGTGAAATCATCTAGATGGCAATTCGTGTTGGGTTTTTGAGAGAAAATGGATAGGTCTTTGTTGCAGTCATTGTTGAATGTCAGGTGTTTGCTAATGGATATTCGTATTATATGTTGCAGGTTTACTCTGAATGATTTGCGCTGGCATGTCAAAGTCACCAAAATCTTCACCAAAAACGTCACCATTTTTACAAATCCGTAACCAAGGAATCCGCCGCAAGCACTGTGCAAGTATTGATGAACGTGAAGGTAAAGGATATTTCAAATTATTTAAAAAATCTATTTATACTATTTTATATAGTGTTTCTCGAATGGAAGATATCTTGATTATCACTAATAAATTGATATTCTTCTGTTAAAATGTCTTTAGTATTAGTAGCTACACTACAAATACTCTGATCTTGGCAGGCTGCAGCATTACTGTTTGAGCATTGACCTCACTTCTTTGCAATTTGCACAGCCACAGCGAATACGACGAGGTTATGGGGTTGCAGACAGGTACTGATAGCCAGACTCAACCTGGCCTGCGTCAAATAATCACAGATTCTGTAAAGTTATTGCCCAGTGTACCTAGCAAAAACCATTGGGTTTATGAAGTAGGTATGTGACTGCAAAAAAATTCCCAAAGTTTTATGGACTTCCCACTTTGTAAAATCAGTAAATAATATACTTTGCACGTGGAATATATATATATATATATATATATATATATATATATATATATATATATATATATATATATATATTATAATATATATATATATATATTATATGTGTGTATTGGTGGACTGTTCCATTGTTGAGCTACATGCATGGTGTTGGTAGCTGTGCTCCTCCAAAAGAGGATATAGTACAGGAAGTCAGCATTCACCAAATTGTAGAAACTTCCCTTTCCTGTCTATGAAATTTATAAACCAAGTACCACGGATGGTACTAGCAATAGAATAGCCATTGAGTTTGGTGTGCAATCCCTATCTGAAACTACATTTGTGATTTATTAGATTTGTTGTTCAACAAGATCTCACAATTATGCCAGAACAAAATTCTTGTTAATAATGTGTGTATGTGAAACTGAATTGCATGAAGATGAAATTGATGAGACTGCAGAATTAAATGGAGAATCTATCAGCAATGGTAAGGCAAGGGCTGTTGTTGCACGGTTAACAGTATGACAATTTTTTTGATCTCGAGAGCTTTATATCGCAAAATAAATCATGTAAAGCTGAATGTAGTGGCAGGTGCATGTGACAGCGAATGTACGTGTGTACTTCCTCTTACATTCATTCTGGTTCTCTATGAATAGATGAATAGTTACAGATTGCTGACTGAATGCATGGGTTTTGTTATTGGCATATCTATTAAATTACTGTATTTCCATGTTACTTAAAATTACTTTATAGACACGCTCCATATATACAAGCAGTCTAGTACTGTTATAAACATGGTATTGCCTATAAACCATCTAAATATTTGGTACTGATAAAACTATTAATCAAATGTATTTGTTTGCTTTTGCTAATGTTACCTCAAGAGCAGAAGATAATATCCAAAGTGCATCACGATTATCTGATTATACCGTGCAGTGATGTCTTATTTGGAATACCTAACAAGTCTTAAGCTTAAGAGGAGGAATATTTTCACCACAAAGAATGTGTATACCGCGTATTTACCCTCATATATGTGTAAATAATAATGTACATATTTGCTGTTTTGTGTGTGCCTGGCTGGAACCTTACTAGCTGGTGATGGGTTGTTTCCATTCCACTCGACACCAGTACAAACATCACGTGCACCGGTCTGTGGAGTATCAGTTAGTTTTGCAGTATGCCACGTCTGATCTCTCTATTATACCCATTTCACTAGGCAATACTAACAGTGTTTCAATTGGTACGGGTTTAGACATGCTTAGCACGAAGCAGGTCATTTATGAAACAGGGCCACGACTGCAACATTTAATAGGTACGTTTGGAAATCGGAGATCATGTGTATTCTATAAACAGTACCCCTTTTTTCATGTGCTGTCTAGTTTGATCTACACGTCATTTAGTGTTTGCACGCATACAGCATGCACCTGTAGCACCCAACGTGTGTTCACATTTGTTATGCTGTATTGGTCATAGTGTGTATTTAAGTATGACTATATGAGTAATAGTTGAAACCTGTGAACGAAATATTTCCAGAAGAAACCGAAGAGGCCACGACCGTCTTCAAGGGTGACGTGATTCTGGGTGTGCGGCTTGCAAGTGAGTCATTTGCGTATGACAGGTCGGCAGACGTTGTGCTCGGCACGGTGGTGTTGGAGTCGGAGGACGTGCCTGCGACATGGCTTCGCAAACAGCTGAGAGAGCAGCTCCCCAGCCTGCCATCACGTTTCGGCTTCCTCACCAAAGAAGGGTAAGAACTTGGAATGGAAAGTGAGATTTAAGCACACGCACCCAGACATCGGTGATGGTGACCAACCCCAATGATGTATTCTAACCAGGGGAGCATAACACACATGGTGGTTGCCTATGTGGTTTTGATGGCATTTTCAGGGGATTAATGACTTCAATGACTTTGGCCACCTCTTTCTGATGGCAAAATGGAAATGTGACATCAGTGATGGTGTCCATTGTTTTCAATCAAGACATCAAATAAGCCTGATGTCATCAATGGCAACTAATTTTCCTATTAATAGCAAATGGGGAGCCTGTTGTCACCAGTGGTTTCAGTGTTATGTTGAGTAGTCTAGCACTTATTTGGTTCTCAGCTATTTGTGTGGCAGTCGTCTTGCAAATGCCAAGAAAAGATCGAAATTACCTTCATGTATTAGGGACGTTATCATGTGTGTGCACATTAAATAAATCACAGCTGATGTATATAGTTTTGTGTCTGTCTGAGTAAATATTTATCACTTTCAGCTGGCCCATTACCCCGCAGCAGGAGCAGAGCATACGAATCTTCGCACTGCCAGATGAGTCACGTACAGTGAGAATACGACACCTATATGGTAAGGATGTGTCAGCACAATGTCAATGTGGTGTCGGTAATGTCAATGGTGGTGTCAACGCCGGTGGGCCAGCGGGACTGGATGGTGAAGACGTTAGAAATGCACCATTTGCTCACTGTATCTATATGTGTTACATTTGCGGTCTCTATGTTAGCATGTGTCGAACAGTTTGGTTGATTGGTTTTTAACAGATAAACCAAGGATAGGAATTCGGAAGGCAAATGAAAGTTTTGTAGGCTTCGTATTTGCAGAGCACAACAGTAAACTCAGCCAATTACGCAGCTGCATAGATGAACAGGTTAGTACTGTATTAAGAATATTGCTGTGTACATGTATAAATCTGCATTCACAGTAAGTTAAAGTATAACATACAACCTAGATGTAAGCATTGTGATGATATATTTGTAGTAGTTGAGGTTCCTTCTCGTTGACAGATTGCTTCACATAGACATCGGCACGTACCCAGCACCCAAGTGTACCAATTTGTCGACCAGAACACCTGGCCAATCAGCACTGAGCAGGAGAGTCAGCTGACCGTGCTCGATGTTCTCAATGGTGCAAGCGTTTGTATTCGTGAGTACGGCTCGGAAAACTTTCCCAACAATGTGCGTGAGACCAGCCCTGAGGAGAGACGTGGATTACAACCCGAGCCTAATAACAAGTACGTTTCTGCAGGACACATTACATTACTAATGCTGCAGTATTAACAATGTGCATTGCTCTGCATGGATCGCTTGCTGTGTAAGCACTTGTCAAATCCTTCAAGCTATCTCTGTGCACTACTCCTCTCAGTATACCCAAAATCTGCCCGACCCAATAAGTTCCTTTCCATTTACTGCCTCTCTCAGTCTCGGTGAACGCTTACCAGAAGGAAATTGGATTGACGATTGAGTTGTCTATAGGTACGAGACTGTTGCTTACAACTCCCTCTGATCATTTTTCGCCCCAGGACTTCACTTTCGAGGGGGCTGACGTTCCGGTCAGGTAAAGATGCCGCACGCAGCTCGGCGGGGGGAGAACCATGTCAGTCCTGCGACGACGATGGCAAGGAAATATTGATTAGCTACGTGCGTGCGGAGGCAGCCCACCATGCCGTATGCCTCAAGGAGGAGCTGTCTGCTCTCGGCTTCAGTGTTTACCTGGTACTATCTCTTGTTGACATTAGTTGGCTCAGTTTTTTTGCGAGCAGGACTGTTCCCAGAGCAACCTCTGCTATATTGGTACAGTATCATGCATGCACGCATATGTGTTTTCACTGCATGGAGCATCTGCGCTTCTGTCTTTCTCCCTCTCTCCCCATCTCTCTCTTTATATATAATATATATATATATATATGTGTGTGTGTGTATATAAATCAGAACAAAATAATCTCAAAGATGATTTGAGGTTATTTACTTCTGATACACATATATAATATTTTAATGCGAGTGGCCTCACTTCTAGGATGTGGATGAAATAAAGACGGGAGTGGACTGGCAGGATGCCCTAAACTATGCTGTCAGCAACTGTGAAGTGCTGGTCCCGCTAGTAACGCCACACTACGGTGAAACACAGTGGACAAATAGAGAGGTGAGTGAGTGCAAGGCCTCTAGGAATTTTACCATGGCACATCTATTTGCTAACTGTTACCTTTACAAGGAGGCTTATCTAGAACACTGAAGCACAGGATAGCAAGCGTCCATGCAGATTTGGTGTTTAAAAATATCCATTTTGTGTATCTTGCCTGCAGGTGAAGTTAGCAGATGTGCTGGGCAAAAGTGTCATCCCAGTGAGCTTTGTAAAAAAGTGGCCACCGCGATGTCTCGCAATACAGTTTGCCACGACACAGTTCATTCCATGGAAGACACAAGAGGAAATTGATTTGGGTAAAGCCACCATTTAATTCATGTTCTCGTTTCAACCGAGGACCTCTTAAAGCTAAGAACTTCCCTGGGAATGCAGGCTATGCGAGTGTAATGTTTCGATTTGCATTAGCTATTGGTTACTGTATCCCAAGGACGAATTGAACTAGAGTGTTTAAAATTCGTGGTTATAGAGCGTTTAGTAGATATTATGGTATTAGTTATTCAGTACTTACAGTCGTTAAGTGTCATCATACCTAGTACTGCATAGTATACGTACATGCTGATGTATGCTGACTCACCATGCTGTGTTACATAGCATTCTAGCATTCTGGTAACCATAACAGAACTAGGTATGGCACGTGGCCGTGTTTAGACTGAACAATGTATGTATTTTAACAAAAGAAATGCCACGTAAACACTGAACCACTGGGCCATCACCATATAAGGCCATTTCCAGCACATGGGTTGGTTACGAGTTTATTGTTACTTTTTACATGATCCACATTGATTCAACATAAGAGGCACAGAATTCATGTTTGTCCATATATAATTCATTAATCCCATTGAAAATTGTACATATTTTGCATATTTTCTTGAGGCTGGTTACTTTAAGTGTTTAAACGACAATGTTCACAAACACATTTTGCAGCTATTAAGAGAGGAATTGAAGATGCAATTGACATAAAGATGTGGGACAAACGGTACGTGCGCTCAGTGGCACGTGAATTAGGAGAACTGGTGCGCAATGATGGCCAGCGAAACCAAACCAGACTGAGAGATTCCAGCAAACGGGTAAGACCCAGAAAACAGTGTACCTAATTTGCATATATAAATTCAGTCAGTATAGATTCATTCGTTCGCTGCATTAAAACATTTGGCAACTAAAGGTGGTCACCGCGGACATCAGCGTATGGGTGCCACAGCGTTTGCTCGGCTTGATTAACATGCATCACACTTACAGGTGTCAATGCTGAGGAGTTATCCGGCATTTTTACCTGACATGGTTGACGGACCCCTTGAGGTGATGGAGCCACGAGAGGGCAAGCCACTTATCGTCGTTGGACTCCACCCTGATCAGAACATGTTTGTAAGTGACTTCTTAAGACTTACAAACTTACTACTTACTTTTGTTGACTAAGTATATTTCTCCGTCATCTTCACCCCTCTCTGTTTTCTCTCTGTTTGCTCTTTTGAAAGAGCTGATGGCGAAAATGGTCTTGCATGTTCGTCACTAACTCGTGTGTAATTTTAACTTCAGGGTATTACTTTAAAGTTTCTACTGGAAGGACAAGGTTATGAGGTGTGGCTGTCAACTCCTGTTGATGAGGTGGATGATTCACAGTTGCCTCCATCTAAGATGACAAGAAGTGTCAGTGCCGACTACAGAGGTTAGGTTTTAACAACCTGTTATTAGTTTTAACTTTTGCTGTTTAAAGCATACACCTCGATCACTGTTGATAGTGCAGTTAGGTTTGCTTTCCTCACATGGCAGTTAAGGTAGGTCATTAGTTGCGTTGTAATGCTCAAAGTACAACACGAAATATCAGCCTGTAAATATCACCAGAGATGACAAGAATCTCAGGGCAGTAATTTAAAATATCATGAATTGTATAAGTGATAACATAAACGGCTCCTCATACATTTGAGTAGAACAAAGAATCGGGTGATGGTGACAGGGAATGATAACGATGCAATTTTTCTTGCGTAATTAGGTCTGATTCACCCGCTGCTGAAGTTCACACCGAGTTGCACAAACGTGCAGAGAGACTTTCAGAGCCGGGCGGATCAGGCTGGTATTGTACTGTTTGTGCTATCTGCTGCATTCGCTGAATCAAAAGTCAGCAAGGGTCAAGTCTTCTATTGCGAGCACCGAAAGTACGTGATCCCTATAAAATACGAGGAGTTTGATATGCCTGGTTGGATGAACATGCTCATTGGGAGGAAGCGATATGAGGTAGGCATTGCCTATGACGTGAAGTCTTATTGAACAGACCACCGCTGCGTCTGTATCTATTTGTTTTCTGGAATGCTATGAAATCAACAAACACTCTTTAGTATTATTGTATCCCCCGCGACGAAGTCGGCGGGGATACTATGGTTTCATGTCTCCCCAGCCGCCGCCCCCTCGTCCGCGCCAAGAGAATTTATCTTGCTCTATAACTCGACGCCCCTAATTGACCTAGCGTGACAAAAACTAACTTGTATACTTACACATCTTTGGGGAGAAGGTGTGGCAGAGTGACCAACACGCAGAGGCGTGTTCAACAGAGCGTGCCGCTCGATGCGAAACGCTCGATGCACGAACGCAGCGCCTCTTGAACGACACACGAGCGCCGCTGTGCGCTGGCTGCTATCCAAAGATGGCGGGCCCCCATGGCGGGTTACTCAGCAGATTTTAATCGCGAGATTTAATGTCTTCAAACAAGTACTGAAATTTAGAAGTAAATGAATGAATGAAAAATGAAATGAAATTGAAATAGATTGCAAATTGAAGTCAGAAATGTTAGATTCCCATTCGCCAGATTGCCCGTCGCGCATCTTGTAAACAACTGCGCGCACTGCGGGCGAAACAGGCCTTTGGAGTTTGCGCTCGCGGGGGCGCTCGGGAAGCGCACGCGAGCGCAGTGGTCGTTCAGAAGAGGCGAGCACGAGGCGTTCGATCTCCTGAACACGCCTCAGCTCACTGCGACCTTTTATTTGACCTTCACCTTGACCTTGATCATAATTCTCCTTCGCGCTCTCGTAAACTCGGCGCCTAATTGACCTAGTGCTACCAAACTTGGTATACTTACAATCTTGGGAGTAGGTGAGCAGCGTACGAAAACCAGGTCACTGCGAGCCTTTATTTGACTTTTACCTTGACCTTGATATATTTTCCTTCCACTCAATAACTCGGCCTTATAATTGACGCTAGCGCTACCAAAAGTTGGTATACTTACACATCTTGGGGAGAAGGTGAGCAGCGTACCAAAACGCAGGTCACTGGCGCCTTTACATTGACCTTGATCATATTTCCCTTCCGCTCTCTAACTCGGCCCCTAATTGACCTAGCACTAGCAAAGCCAGGTCACTACGACTTTATTTGACCTTTACCTTGACCTTGATCATATTTCCCTTCCGCTCTATAACTCGGCCCCTAATTGACCTAGCGCTAGCAAAACTTGTATACTTACACATCTTGGGAAGAAGTGTGTGTCACGTACCAGAACAAAACCAGGTCCTACGACCTTTATTTGACCTTTACCTTGACCTTGATCATATTTCCCTTCTGCTCTATAACTCGGCCCCTAATTGACCTAGCGGCTACAACTTTGTATATACTTACACATCTTGGGGAGAATGTGTGTCGCGTACCAAAACAAGGTCACTGCGGCTTTTATTTGACCTTGACCTTCATCATATTTCCCTTTTGCTCTATAACTCGGCCCCTAATTGACCTAGCGCGAACCAGACTTCGTACTACTTTACACATCTTGGGGAGAATACGGGGGATACATGTAGTTGGCGACAACTGCCCTTTCTAGTTATTATTTCCATCGCTAGTGTGTCGATCTGTGTTCATGACAGAACTGCTGTAGAGGCTGATAACTAGATAAGATTTTAATCTCATCAGTGCCTTTCCACTCAATGTGCTAGGATGCAAGGCAGGAGAACTTCAAGGAATTATTGTCATGTCGCATCAAGCGAGCACTGGATCCTTCGGCACGTGTTTCTGAGACGTATGAGATCAACGAAGCCAAGCTGGCATTCAACTCCCGCTTCCTTAAGCAGACTATTGACGTGGAGGTTGGCATAGAGAACTGCGTCTACATCTTTGGCAGTGTCTCGCCCCGAAGCCAGCGCTCCAAGGAGTTCTGCCGGTAAGATAAATTATCTGCGCTTAAAAAAAAGAAGTCTTCAGGTACATAATGATATCCAGATACATTGAATGATGAAAAGTACATGTAGCAAGACCAATGTCTCTAAGTAAGATGAGTCGTTTTCCACAATAGTTTTGATAACATTGTTTTTGATAATGACATTTGATGGTAACTATTATTACCATTACCCACTAGTCGTTTCCAGATGAATAGTTTGCAAATACAGTGGTTATCTGTGATTGTGATTAATGGTAATTGGTAATGGTCAATGTTGAAGCATGTTACACACGTTATCCTTCCATATAGCTTCCTGTTTTCTTCTCACCAGCCACACGTGTCAGAATTGATGTGGCTGGCCAGCAGAATTGCTCGTGTCTACGCCTGTAACAGCATGTAGTCTGTGCTTCCTGTCTGTAGGATCCTCGGGCAGAATCTGGCTGGAATTGAGGTCATTGGCGTGGCAACGGGGGGCGAATTTGGTGTCAGCGAACTAGTGGCTGAGAGCTTTATTGAGACAAGAAAAAAGATGAAGAAGCTGGCAGATGTGTGGCATGTTCTTCCAGAGAGAGAACCCCAGGTGTGTGTGGTGGAACTAGCATGATTTTGCACTCGCGATGTATCAAGAGTGCAGAACGGCATATGAAATATGTTGCGGTACTTGAGCTGCTGAGAATATAGACTAATCAGTCGGTAATTGTGCATTAAACTTCTGATCATTGATCTGAAAGCGTAGAATGCTCGTAGACGTTGGAAACGTGTTGATCTCACCACAACAGTCATTGGTTTTATATGGGGATTTCGAATTTGGCATTCAAACATTCCATTGTAATCTTATTTACCATGCTTTATTTATTATTACTTTTTATTTATTTATGTATGTTTTGTTTCTATTTATGGATCTCACTATAATCTTGAAGGAAGTGTAATGTCACACATTATTGTGTTTCTTGCGAAGGCCTTCATTTGATTATGTGTTTCTTGTGCAGGCCTTCATTTGACTATGTGTTCTTGTATTGTATCTTGCAGAACTGCAGTCAGAAGGCACGTCAGAACCCCGACCTTACGTTTCAGGTTGTGCCGTACGGTAACACAGTGTTCAGCGGCGAGAACTTTGAGGAACGAGAGTCGATCGTCGCGCGGGTGTTCGAAATCGCAATTCTCATTGAAGGTCAGTGCATCTCCAAACTGCCTGTTGGTGAAGTGCTTGCATTTGTTTGCAGTGATATTGTTGCCGCCATGCTTTGTGGGCAACAAACTGTCATGCACACTTACCATACTGCTGTTACTATCATGAGCAGACCGAGCTATTTTATGCAGATAAATTAACCGGCGCCTCCTCTTGCAGGTGAATTGGATGTTGCGCATGGATGTGTTGAGTTCTTGTGGAATGATCACTTGATCATTCCAATCAGGTGTACAGGTGGTGCTGCAGCAGGCAGTTTTGGTGTACCAACAAAAATATTTGAGGTGAGTTTAGTGTTTGACATGGCATTACTATAGTTAGCACTACTTTATCACTCTATAATATTCATATATACACAGTAGTACATATATACAAGTACATATTCAAACATTTCGATGATGGTTTTGTTTTATTTGCGTCCCTAAATGTTGAATCAAACATTTTGACAATTATTTATCACAATACTGAGATATTATTTAACATCGTTTATTAAAATAATTAAGTTTCATAATTGAATGCATCTTAACATGCAATAACACATTTTAATTGAAGGCATTATGTTATAACTACAGCAAATATTTGTATTAAAATGTTGAATGAAATGGTTGATAATCAATATTTTTCAAGCTTTCGGAAAGGCAGTTTTCACAGGTAATGTATGTCATTTTAATGATGTAATGTCTTTGTTCTGTAATGATATGAAATTAATTCTAGCCAACTATCATAAACAAAATCAAATCGAGAATTTCACAAAGCACTTTAGGCTGTAGAATCAAAATACAGTCAGATAGCAGTTTTTTGCTGAACCAATTTTCTTTCATCTCGAGACATCATATTGATCATGATCGACTTCTCAATGTCAGATTCCAGCAGGAGTGAAGGAAGCTGATTGGCAGCTGCTGTCTGATAACTCAGCATCCACAGCGGCTGTTGCCAGGGCAACTGTCAACGTTATCAAAGATCTCCAGCTCACGCTGCATGATTACGAGCGAATACAGATGGCACCATCGCAGCCGCGTTTGCGGAACAGGTTTGTGTCCAAGAAGAAACAATTACAGGGTTCCTACGTGTGATTTGCTTGCAGTTTGGTTTGATGGATTCGATTGCAACATTGTACAGTTTGTAATTCTGTAGATGAATTACATAGTCGCTTATTTATGTTGCTAGTGTTTGCTATCAAGAGGAACATGGCTGGAGTCCATCTATAATGATGAGCATTAAATCAAATCTGCTAGTAGAATGTTGTAATTATATTTGTTTCTTGCGTGTTTTTTTGCTAAATGCCACGTAAGTTAGACTAATGTAGTAAATAGGTTCACTGACTTTGCATGCCTGATTAACATGATTAGTGAGGGAAACTGGTTTCTCTTGGCTCCTCTCCTTTGTAGATTTTCATTCTTTATTATTCTCTTTCTTATGAGGTATGCATGATTGTCTCTTACTAGTCTGTCGTATCCTTTTCAATTTAGTAGTGAGGGCTTGGTAATGGCAATGATAAATGCAGTGTGTTTGTGCCACTAACAGGTCTGTTCGGCAGAGGATCTCAAAAGCTAGGCTACAGAGCATGAACACTCTCCTTCTGGATGAATAGGAGCTGTGATCACTGCAGCCTCCGATGCCTGTTACTATGGAAATGGCCTCATTATGACTTGGTTAATGATGAATTCTGTATGGCTTTGTGCCTAGTGATGCACGTACCAACTGTATACACAGGATTTTGAGCTTCACCGTGTTAACTGTGCTTCACTGTACTTCACTTGAGCTGAGCTGAGCTGAGTTCACTGAGCTTCACTGTAATAACTTTGTTAGTGTGATCACTAGGTACACAACTCTGCTGGACCTTTTCAACTAAAATCTTTATATTAAAGTTTCTTTCTCTTGTACACATTTCAGAGCAATAACAGGCAATGCATGTTTAAGTAGTCTGGTGATTCGTAGGTTTTGTGCTAGTCGTGCACAGTAATATTTGTTTTTAGTAGATGTAAGTATAGTTCACTTTCTGCGTGAAAAGGCATCTCATTGCATGAATATTGCAATGTTTACGTCACAGCACAAAATAAGCACCAAAATTATTTTGAGAAGTAATGGACAGTTCCTTTTAACACTTCGTGGCAAACATCCTCACGTAAAAAACCAGCGACAGTCTACATTTTCGACACGATTTCGACACGTTCTCTTGGTTTTGTTACACTACATAGAGAGCAAGTGCAGACGTGCCGCTGCTGTGCATGCAGACGACTGCGCCACCACTGTGTCTAATCGCATGGCTGTCTCCTGACCACCACGTCACCCTAGTTACTGTAACCATCTTTGTAGCTGGAATTGTTCTAATGTTTTCCCAACAGTTACTTACAGTGGTATGGTGCAAGAATATGTCTTCCCCTGTCTTACCAGTTTTAGAACGAGATTTTCTAGGGGTGGGTATCGAGGACCATCATTTGACCAACATGTTAGTGAAAACCTTTTCCATTGAAGATTCACTTCATATGTGGAAAGGGAGATTTAAGGTAAGGCTAAAAGAGGGAGAGATAGACATAGATCGATAGCAGGGAGGAGAAGAAGGAGAGAGGGGGCTATAGGGAGAAGAAGGAGAGAGGGGGCTATAGGGAGAAGAAAGGGTCACAGAGAGAAACAGATAAAAGTAGAGAGAGAGCGAGAGAGAGGAAGGGGGATTAAGATAGGAAAGAGCAGGGGTGAGTATGATTGGAAATAAGAGGGGTGTACGTATGTGTGAGGCAGTTGGTACTTAATGCAATGAAGGTAGAAGCATGGTGGTCTAGTAAGGGTGTTTGGCGTTGTTTCCATTGCATATATCGGTGATATATTTTGGGTACAACTGACTGTAACACAACTAAATACTACATCTAGTCTTTCAATAGTCTAATGGATGAAACAGGGAGACTGTGCACTGGTGCACTTCCATCTCTGAACAACTACTTTGCACGTTACAATGCTTTCTAGACTTTTAACCTATATTAGATATTAGAAAAGATGTAACACTGTATCAGTCTTAGATGCTTCAAATGACATGCAGTTGTTATACAGTTTAATTCGTGTTTCACTACTGCATGTTTTTGTGTTATACAATTGCATGACAACAGAAATGGTTGAGACTATATATTACATCTACTACTTCATTTTATAGTAGTATACTAGACTATATTCTTATCCAGTTTGGCAGTTAGGTTTTATGTTATTCATGCTAGACACGTGATGAACATTTATAGGAGATTGATGGGACTGAAAATGTTGTGAAGAAAGAAAATGTGTTATATATCAGATTTGTACAGTAAGCTTATAGTAGCAATATATTTGCTTTTTATACCGAATATTTAGTATGGACCCAATAACGTCTTAGATGTTAATAGGCTCCTGATATTATCCCACTCATCGTGACAAGTGTTGGCAAATGGGTAATGATGTATGCATGAATTCTTCTGGCCTCTTTCTGGCCTGTAGTAATCGGCGTGTCTTAACAGCTGATATACTGGAATGGATGAACTTTCTTGAATGTGCAAGGTTCGAATCTTTGTGGGTGATGATGATGTGGCAATACCAATGTGGTTCATTACCTGTTCCATAACCCTAATCCCAATCAGCAGAAACTTGAGTTTAGTAATGTTCAGTGACTGTTGTAATTAATTTGAAGAGCTAAAGCTGCTATAGCCTACTGTTTGGATCGTCACTAGATTAGATCTTGACGTGTTTTTTAACGTGTATGATCTGTTTGTTTTTATATAGACACTGATTGTGAAGTTTTATGTATTTAATACGGACTGTTTTCACCGATGACATTCATTTATTCACTTCACTTTATGTGAAAAACTTATAAATGTGCCAAGACTGAGGAAGAAATTCTTGTTTGTACAGAGTATTTTAAAATATGTAAAAAAAATACTGGTACACCCACTATCAATTTTTATACAGTGAACTTATTGATGTTATCAGGTGATGTTATGTGTATCAGTGTTGAGTAACATACGGTTGATGACACGTGCTTGGTAAAGGTGAATGATAGATATATCAGGGGTCGATCCTGGGTACGATACTATATACACCTGTAATATGTAGCACCCTGCGTGCGTGCGTGCGTATTAAATGTGTATATATATATATATATGACCTGATACCCACAAAAATTCATATGACGCATATGCTAATCCATCCTTAATAACTACCTTAGAGAAATGTGATAATTAAAGGAACCAAAATGGGAAGGACAAATTGTGTCAGAACTATATTGAACTAGAGCACTCGGAGAGCACAGACCTCCGCCAAGGCAGCTGAATTCTCTCAATGTGAAATTTTTAATTAATTAATTAATTAATTTAGTGGAAAAATTAATTAATTAATTAAATAATTTGATCCGGATTAGTGCGAGCGTGCAGGTGGGGGAGGCCTGTGGTTGCGTGTTTGTAAGTCTACAGCCAGCGCACCTAGCGGAAGTGAACTGAAACGTGCATGGTATAAAAACCCACAAACACACAAACCAACACTCAAACACACGTCGGTGAAAACATAACCCCGCCAAGCCCCTGGCGGAGGTAATTAGTTGCTACTATCGTGATAACTCGTCGTCCCTAGCTATATGTTCTGCAAACAGTCGTTCAACATGTAGGATGCACAGACACTACCAGTAAAAATAATGTAAACATTGGTTTGGAAAAAAGAGGTGGGTACTAGATTTGGGACAGTGTTTTGATGACGAAGGTGGCCAATAGTCTTAATGTTCTATCACGAGGGAAGAGAATAATTGCCAATGATAAATGCCAGGGTAAAAAGGTTATCAAGGATTAAGGCAAACTAAGCACGATAGTTTATAAATAGTCCAAGTCAAGAAAAGAATGTTTACTACAAGGAAATTAACTGGCCCACCTTGCAAGAACGAGACACATGTAGGAGCCATGAGCTATTAAAATCATTGATCAGAGATCGTAGGTAATGCAGTCATTAATGGATACAGTTATACGGTAGTGTGTACATTCGTCTGCTGCTGACCTTGCTGATGTTTTGTTTTCTGAAAAATACCACGTTAACGCGTAACGTATAATGAAACAGTAATAGAAGCCGGATTCATAAATATGACTTTATTACTGTCCATATAACATGACTCACAAACACCTTTGGTTTCACTATGACTTTTGTCTTTACCAACAGAATGTCTGAGTGACTGGAACCATAGCACTTATCACAACATCACTGAAACAAGCAACAAACAAACAACTCTTTTCCTCCAGTTACTGACTGCACTGCTGGCTGGTGTCAAAATTATGCCTCACAAGGCCGGGGGAAAAGAGTTGAATATTTTCCATACGTCTTCACTGCCTCGTACACCAAACCACTACCAGACACCATACACAGTACTCGTTGCACAGACACTCCACTCATGGCTAACACTATATAATACACGAGAAGATAAACACTGACCAATTAAAAATTTGGCCACATCATGGCAGCAGTGTGCGGAAGACTGCGCAATGCTGATCTAGGCAAAGGTTTATGCAAAGCACACACGTCTCTTGCCTACTGAAGCTCCAAATAAGAGACAACGCTTGTAGACACTACATCACAATTACAAATATAAAAACTTGAGATAAAGATGCACCTTGAATGTCGGTTAATTACTGGGTTTGTGAGCTCTCTTACACTACTCCTGATTTGGCCTTTATAATTGCGTGTAAAGCTGCGTTACCCACCAACATTCAAAGTGACATCGAGGTGACAAAGTAAAGACCTGATGACTGAAGCATTAAATGTAAATACCATAGTCCTGAACAGGACAGTATCTCAACAGCCCGTATCTATTCCGTTTCCTGTCGGTTTAAACCTGTTATGCGTATGAGGATTTTGGGAGCAAGCCCAACAATACTTCCTGCTTTTAATAAATGTTCACCTGAAACGTTTTCAACATGGAAATCGATAGAGTGATCACTCCCTGACTATGCGCCACAGCCAAGGAAAGAAAACATCACAAAACAACGAGCTTCTGCGATAACCAAAGCGCAAAATAACTCTTGACCTCAGTGGGTAAAGCAACCGGCAAAGTGCCCGAGTGACCAGTACACGCCAGAATGTGCGCTTAGCATCTGCACAAATACAAACTAGAGTAAACTATTTCTGTACAATGTCAATGTCATAGCTAAGATCGACAGGTGCACCGGAACTGTACCGTCTGTACCACACGATACATTCAATGGCTACGTATAAACGACGACTATGGTCCCCAGACTTCCCTAACTATGGGAATTGGTCCTTCTCAGTTGGCTGATGCGTATATACACGCGCACAGAAAGTCACACTCCGATAGGAAAATGATAATGCCAGCTGTTAAGCAGTTTTCATTTTAGTAAGCTGGTCCGAGGGACCCACATTAATCTTACATTACGATACAAAACTCTAATACTGTACGGATGACTGGTACTTACTGCTTAAATACTAGTAACGAAAAGCACAGCAGTACTGCAGACTTGCTACAGCCCACAAAAACATACTCTCAGGTTACACCAAGTGGTAAACCTTTGATTAAACAAATGAATGGCACATATCGCGCTTAAAGCGCTGTGCTTAAAATCTCGGTTAACGCATTACATGAAATAGCACTAGGGAGGTGATTGACGCAGTAGCATGACATAGAGGCCTAGTGGAATGTAAAGACTTGCACTGGAACATGGTCCAGTAGGTAGTGTCTGTATTCAGGAGACTAGTAACAGAAGTAATCACAAGACTAGCAAGTGAAACGTATCGATATAGAGCAATTCGACAGCCAGTATCACAATAAATGGTCAAGTTTTGATCTTACACACTCACCTATACGTCATCTACCAGACAGGCGAGTGCTTCGTACCTACACCACTATGAATGTGCTTAGTTCTACTCTACAGTGACATCGGTGTAATAATAGTAGTTTTCGATCATTTAATTTTTTAATTGGAAAGATTTATAACCTTACCCTATATATAAGAAATGTAAACAGCACGTCGTACATGTTGTGCTACTAACATTTAATGTCATCCAGACACTAAAGAAAAAAGTCCCACTGCTCGTGTGCTCTTTGGCGTGGCTATTCCACGAATTGCCCATGCTGGCCAGCATTCCAATCATGTTGTCTAGCTGCCCTCCTCTTAACGTGCCATTCCCACGACTCAGTGGCCACAGGGACCACGCACTCCACGCAAGAACACAGTGAGAAGCTTCCGACTTCTAGCGCTTTCGTGCCTAGTGTTCACCGACAACACGTCTGCGGCCACACGCGTGCAAATGGCGACGAGAGTTCGCACTACGTCCCGGCGACGACGGCGACCTGTCGCCCACCTTCGAGATACTGCCGATAATCTACAGGCACAGTGACGATGATCTTCATACGAGAAAAACAACATTAACAAACCACTGCTGGACTATTATAATAATGCGCACTATGCAAATATAATCCGACGCTGGCCAACATCACAACAGGTATATATAAATATTTGGTCTTTTCACGCCAGGCAAAACCCAGACGTTTTTTCCATATTTTCCCTTTAAACGTGCTAAACACAAAAGACTGATCACCGAAATACAAACATCCATGCAACACAGGTCACCGTCGTTGATATGGCACAGAAAGACAGGCACAGACCTTTATCGTGAAGCTTGAAAGACCACGTTTTATACTGGGAGAGGCAAGAAAAAGTATAAATGCTAATATATATATAGCATAATAAACTGACAAAGCTCGTGACTATTTAATAAAATATCTAAATCGTTTTTCTGTGGTTTTACCATTATTTAAGTTTTTTGCTAGCCAGCTGAGCTGCACTTCTAACACATACCTAAGTTCACTGTGGGTGATACGTGAGCCCCTGGATTGTCGTCTGCCACATTTTGGCATCCAGTTACTACACCCGCATCACTCACATACATAGTATGCAGCAGGGATTACTCTAGCACATGGTATCTACCTACTCCGAGATTCACGACTCTGCAGAGTATTCTTACATCACAAACGCATGAGCTGGAATGTGTAAACGTGTCTCTTCTGTGACTCTAAATCCCCGACACAACTAACCCATGCTCACTACCAATGTGCATTGTAGATTCACAGCAACGATCCACGAAAATCTCCTACGTCGAATGTTCTATACACTGTTAACTTTTGAAACGATTCATCCCATTACAAGTTAGTTATGCCTCGCATAACAACAAAAGTCCAATGACTACCACTCATACATAAATATAATCCATAAGAACATTTTAGGTTGAATTATCACATGAAATGAAAATACATATTAACTAAGCTTAACGACAGAGTAAATAATTTTTAATTCAAATAAATGTGAAAATAAATATAACCACGTATACAATCTAATTATCATCATATAGTTCACATATATATATAATAATAATAGTTGTAATAAAAATAATAATAATAATAATAGAATTAGTCATGTATTAAATACACAAGATTGATCTGATATGGAATGCTGATTTTACATCACGATAATAACATATTGTTATCATATAGATTGTATATCCTATATACTAAATGTTGATTTTTTTATATCAGGCTCTTTTTGTCCAAAAATAATCTGAATCGGACAAGCGTTTGACTAAGTGAATGACTATATTTGGTTATCTATGCAGTTTAATATCACTACCCCCAAAAACATTTTGTAAGTAACATTCTTGCGGACGTTAACTTAACCATCATGAAATAGAGAATGTACACCTACATGGTAATAAATACCTGCATGATATAGCTCAATCCTATCCAGTGTCTGACAAAAAATATTTCTAGGCAATTCCAAGATAATTATAAGCGATCCTTGCATCTCTCCACTTTAACAAGCTATTGGGATGCCACATCCTTTAGAAAGAAAAGCACCACTGCAACTGCAGCTATGATGAGTGAAACCCAGGTGGTACTTAAAACATAAATAAGGAGCAAACACGTACCTTTTATGATCATCAATTTTAAATGCAAGGATGCACTTTCGACACTTTCAAAATCAGCTCACAAACGACATTTCTCGATTTGACTGTAACTATTGCGTTATAATACTGTTTACCTTACACTGACTACAAACAAAACCCTTTTTAAATACTCATGACGCACACTATTATACAAGTCAATCCTTCCCTGCTAACAGAACGAGGTAAAGTAGATTGCTTAACGCATGCAAATATTCATACCCATAACTGCAAAACCTGTTGACCAGATACAACACTTCAAAGAAGACTTAGGCATCTGCCTGACACATTACCTCTGGCAGGCAAATACACAGGTTTTCTTTCCTGTGACGTTAGTCAGAGCAATGATACCACAAACTATAAATAAGCAATATCATATGTGCTAACATACGAAGTCCTGCGAACCTGATTACATCCTATAACGAGGTCAGCATGGGGGAAAATACCGGTCTTGATCCAGAATCAGGTAGAACACTGAGGTTATTAATTCTGAGGATGTATGTCGATCTATAATCTACCGTGCTAAAGAGTCGGTGCAGTACCTGTTGCTATTGGCGAACGACTGTCAGTTGTTGCCAGGTGCAGGCGGCAGGTTTCCCTGAACGTAATTGATGACACTGTCTCGTGGCCAGCTGCCCATGTGCGGCGAGGTCCCAGCCATCGCCTGGTCATACCTGCAGCGGGTACACACGCTCAGTTTAAGTTTATACACGAGTTTAGGATGGCTCTCGTTAGACACTGAACACTAGCCACGGACCCGCACACGCACACGTTGAAGAGCCTGTTCATGACGTAGCAGATCAAGTGTACTGTTTACATCACAACGATGTGAGTTTGAGGTTTTCGTTGGTACGCTACCACTGCCCACAGACGTTTTTTACACTGTCTTTAGGATTCCACTGTGCCTGCCTACTTAGGTGCAGTCAATGAACTTTTGCACTGTTTGTTTCTTTTGTTACGGCAACAAGATGTATACTGAGAAAGAGTCAGAGAATTAGAGAAAGAGAGGGATGGAGGGAAGTAGAGAGGGATGGGTAGGAAACAATGTTAAAGCAGAAGAGGGGTGAGAAAGTGTGAGACGGGGCTTCAGAGAGAACTATACATAGGGAAATTGGGGAAGAGGGGGGAAGGCACGAGTGAGAAAGAGAAAGGGGGAGAAGGAGGAAAGGGACACCGAGTAGGAGAGAGAGAGGAGGAGGAAGAGGAGGAAGAGGAGGAGCAGGAAGAGGGGAAGAGATCAATTAGAGTTACGCAGAAAGGAAGGAGAAGAGTGTATCTGCAGTCAATTTGTTCACGGCGCCACGTACCGGCCTTTCAGCTGCTTGAGCAGCTCGGACATGTAGAGCGAGCCCTGCTGCATTTGGACAGGCGCATATGCCAACACCTGGCTGGACTCGCTGCCCGTCTCCTTCTTCACCTCGCTCTCCACCGAGCTGGTTGTAGAGTTGTCGCCCGAGTCATCTGCTATGAGGTCGCCACCGTACAGGCCGATGCGCTGCAGACGCTCCACTCGCTGCTGCTCCTTCTGATCCTGGATCTTTCTCTTTCTCAACAGGTGGCGCTCCTTCACCTTAGTAAATCATAGTTAGGCGAACTTGTTAACCGGACGGCTCAAGAAGCGTGTACAGGTTTCTGATGCTGTACAATCGTCATCGATCAAGACCGGTCAAATTTACGTGAAGAATAAAGATGCAAGACGGATCTGAATGCTTTGAAACCGATGATCCTAGGAGACTTTTCGTTGACTAACACTACTGGAAACTGATCTTCACATCAAGCATGGTAGCCAAAAGGTCCTCACTTTATACTCGAGCGTGGAGTGTGGAACACCGTAAAAGGTGCCAGCTCTATGCACACTCATCTCTCCTCTCTGCACACTCTGCACAGCCATTGCGAGGTTATCGTGGTCGTAGTTCCTGTAACGTCCACGCTTGGGCCTCGTCCCCTTTCCCATTGGCTTGCAGTCCTTCACGTACATGTTGCTCTGTAGTATAAGAGCAGAGAAGCAAAAATGCATTAATACATTATGAAGCAATGAACTCAGGTTTCGACTGTTCTTCTCGGCAATAGACTTTAGTCAAATACGAACTATTACAATAACGGACAGAGATCAAACATTTCAGCATGCACACGTTATTAACATGCCTGCATAAAAACAAGCATGAGCTCTTTCTTACACGCCTGCTATGCGCTTAGACCCGATTCTCTGCTATTTCTGCATCCCCGCTAGCATACCCCGGTGGATTCTCGGCCTCTGCTGGAAGAGGGTCTGCCAACACTGTCCTCCTCATCTGACTGGGAAGCCGACTGTGACTGGTAGCAGTGGTTGCGCACGTGCTCGCTGATGTTCTTCGCTATGATGCTCTTCAGCGCATCTCCAAACGCCTTGCTCTCCGTACTGTGAACGCAGCCACAAGGCAACATCAACAACCACATTACCATGAGCCCCATCATAATCCCATAGACACTAATCATCAGTGATGCAAGGATTTTACTGAAATTGAACTCACAAAAACACGTTCAAAATCCTGTTTAAATGGAAATTGAAATGACATCTGTTATAAAGAATTATATTCATCTAAAGGCCATGAGAGCCATATTACTGGCCGAGAGACATGAACGGTATTTGCATTATATGACCAACAGAGATTGCGAATTGGCAAGAAGAATTATTGAAGTAATAGATGGTTAACATTTAGTAGCTTCATTTAAACCGTCTATTTTCTCTGCTTCAGCAAAATATTTTTACCAAATAAAATTACATACAGACATGAGAGAGGCAGCTATATGTGGGTTGTATACTTATGCCAACAGCTACTAAGTATGCATAGTCATTAGCTATGGATTTCTTAGAGTTACTGTATGCACATGCACACAACTTCGTAGAGTCTCCACCACTATAAATTATAATGTTTTATTGTTTATGTTTTGTGGCTAATGTTTAGGCCATTACGAGAATTGTGAAGGAATAAAATAATAGTGCTGAGCACACTCCTGATGACAGAGTCCAGAGTTTTAGTTACCAGCAGATCGACACTAAAATAAAAAAACAACGCAAAAAAATGAACACACCTCAGAATGTCTGTGGTCGTCAGTGGCCGTGTCGGCTTGTAGGACGGAATCTTCAGGATAAAATCTGCAGAGTCGTCGCCGTTGATACGTGCCACGTTCTTCCTCTCCTCCTGCAGCCGTTCCTCCGTCAGATTGCGGATGAACTCAGACAGGAATGGAAGTCTGATGTCGCTGTGGATGGAGAACGATCGTGCATCCACCACGGAAGGTGCGCATAGCAGTGAAGCAGATACCTTAATCCTTTTCTGACATTCTCATATACAGTAAAACCCCGCGAGTAAGAACCTGCATTTTCCCAAGTTAGCCTAAACAGGTTCTTACATAAATGGTACTTAGCACAAATTGAGGCTATTTAGGTTCTTAAATAGGTTCTTATTTTCTAAAGAAAAAAATTACATTGTAGCTAATAGAATTTAATGGTATTCGGCCTATTCCTTATATACCATCTGCATACCATGTAAGTATTTATGAAGAAATTAATGAAAAAAATTAAGCAAATGAATGTTTACGTTCTTCTTCATAACATAACATTATACCTGTATACCTACATACATACATACATACATACATACATACATACATACATACATACATACATACATACATAAATACATTATACATTATACTGTGTACCTGTAATACCTAGTCCAACTTACAGTAACCTCTAACAGAGTATTAAATCCTCTCATTTGGGTTAGGTCCTTTAACAATAAATCTATGGTTAGGTTGTTCACATGGTTCGCATCGTTAAGAGGGTGTTCCTTGCAGTAAAATGTAGTTTCCACTGCAGCACATTATTGTATCCGATACAGTAAACAGCACCAATAATTATCATAAGCAGTATCTGCTGACTGTATATGAAGTTATGATTGGCATTTCTTGATTTCAGTGATATTAAGACATTCTATATGGTTCAACCTCCTCACTAGCTTTTTCAGAAACTGTTCCAGAAAACTGGATGTCTTATTACTGTAGATGGCACTGATGATGACCTGGTCAAACCTCAAGGAGACTTGATGACTATGAGTTTTAGTTGTACATACTATCCTCTAAAATATTGGACTTGAAATTATTTGGGAATATCTATGTAATCCATCCAATAGGTGAATACGTAATTAGTATCAGAAGGGTGTGGTGGATTTCACTCTGATGTTATAGCAAAGAGAAAGATAAAAGTATAGATATTTTTGAATGACCAAATTTATTCCATAGTTGAAGTAAAATGTTAAGATTGTACAGTGCTGTATTTTACCTTAGATTTGAGCCCGATCTGCTGCTGATTACGGTTGGCGTGCGTGCGTGGGGGCATGCCAGCTGTATGCCGTTATGACGGTATGTAGCTGTGTACCGGGTCAAAGGTTATCTCGCCGAGTGTTGCGTTGATGCCTAATCTCCCAGCGAGCCACATGCCTCGCCGAGTTAGCAAGCTGTGGTTAGGTAGCTGCCTTTTGTTTGAATATAGGCGGGCAATCGGCTCGGATTGATGGCCAAAGAATGGATAATCGTGTCGTACGTTTTAGTCTGTATCTCCGGATTGCTTGTGTATACATTTACAAGGAAACGATTTCGCACGATGCTAGGCGAATGTACTGTGTACGATTTGAGCTCAAGTTGGATGAGTTACACGCAGTAAATCGTAGGTATTATAAGGCTAGTAAATGACGAATTTTCCTTGTTTATTGATGTCACACTCTGTCCCTATTATCTACTCCTGATAATATGTACACGTATACATTTCTCAAATCATGCTTTGCAACAAGACACATTCAGTACTTCATCAGGGTTATGCTCTCCTGATCCTGTCTTAGATGTAGCTTATGTACTTACTTCCTATGCCTCAACATGTTTAACTCAACTCATAAACCTCCTATAACCTACACATGCCACTTACATTGTACCATCACCCCACATCTCACTACCTTGCATATTCCACCAATACCCCTACCTTCTGTAACCCAAACCAACGCACACACTGTTCACTTCCTCAGTTCTTCTCTTCCATGATGTTATCTCATGCTTGCTAATCTGTGTACTCTATGAATTCTCACTAACTTTAGTACATCATGACCATCTCCTTCATTTTTTCACCCCCCTCTGTCTTATCTAATTGCAACACCCCTAAAAATCCATACCTGTTGTAAGGAATAGATGACTTTAACTTATCCTTCAGGTCACTAGGCTTCTTTTCTAGCAGCTCTCGGCTAGTGAGGGTGCGCCGGGTGGCCGCAGCCGGAAACAACATCAGTGGCTTTTCTGGCACTTTCTCTGGCTTTGTATCCCCGTTTGGCGATGCTGGGAAAAGTAAGCTGTCAATAAGTGGAACAACTAGAACACTTGGTTTCCCTAACCCACACGCTCTGCTTCTATTAACTAAGTTTTACTCCTGATGACCTGGCCTTGTTTAAGAAGGACACTTTTATGGGTTATATATACAAAATTTTATGATAACACAAACTTGATAATTTGCTGTCATAAGGAATTCATGTATATTATGAGTTATTCTCATATAAAAAATAAATGGCAAAATTGATATGAAATGTTATTATTATGCACTGCAGGACATTCTGCACAGCAATACAAGACGTGAGCCTTATAACTCATGAAAATATCCAAAACAAGAGAAAAATCTCTACAGCTAAATGTCAGTTTTGGTACATAATTGGTTAATAAATAATGTTTCTGATGTGTTTTTCATGATAAAAACAGGTGTTACCAATCAATATAAAATATAATAACACTATAACTGCAATTCTTTGTGTAACTGCATTATTTTCATCATTGTTTTTAAAGTTACATGAGGAACTAGGATCTCACAATGTTAAGTGGAAATTTGCTAGGAACTTTCATGTTTAAGTCAAAGTTAAACGTTAAGACTAAAGATAAGGCTAATCTTGTTTCTGAATAACTGCCACTTAACGGAAATGTCATTTTTTACGCCTAGAAACAACTGAACTAGGATTGGCAGTAAATTGCAACAATACCTTGTAGGCTGTCCGTGATTTTCTTGTGTATGAGATCACGCAGGCTCTGTGAGGCCGACGGATATTGTGCCGGGCTAGTTGAGCGGCTGGGCACTTGAGACTTCTTCTGATACGCGTGTGCCTGTTCTGCTTCCAGCTTGTACACCTGCAACGTGGTCATCAAAGAGTAGCAACGGCGACAACACACACCTGACAAGAAGTGATGACTTCTGTCTGCATACATGCGCATGTTTGCAGCACCTGCAAAACACTAACTAGTACACACAGTGTGTAGATAATACGCAGTAATTTTTGGCCTGTGTACCTTGTTGCGCAGCGTCGAACGCGGTATGCCATAAAGTACAGCGGCACGGCGTGTTCCCAGCTTGCCATTACGAATGTCATCGACTGCAGCCCGCAGTTCGTCCTCTGTGTAGTTGCGCCGCATAGGCCCCTCCCCCGGCCTCACCTTCTTCAGTTTCCTGACAGTTAAGGAAAATTACTCAGAAAGTTACACAGAAATGGTGGGCAAGTTTTAAAATCCTGCTATTGGAAGCTGCAAAAATACTTTTTTGGGGGGTAAATGATTATTAGGAAGAATAAAGGCAATTTCCACTAACCCTTCCAAGCCCTGCTTCTTCTTCAGTTCTGGCACTCTGATGACGTTGGAGTTCATCTTCTGTTGCTCTCTTTCACGCAAGTTAATCTTTATCCTCTGCATGGCGCATTCCTTCGAGGTCATTGACAAGTCAAGAGGCTGGTCCGGGTCAGGTGGTGCAGCAGGAACTGGATAGTGGGGTGGTACCATAGGAGACCAGTTTGGAAGCAGCTCTTCTAAGTACCTTATGGTAACTGTGAGAAAATAAAACAAGCGCCGCAGAGCGACAGCGCTCAACTGACGTGTACTGTAGCCAGGTATTCTTCTGATAAACTCACTGGCAACCGAATCAAGTGAGCCCTCCTGCCACCGCGTGCGCGCTCAGAGCATATAATTAGGATAACTACTAATACAGATCTACTCTAATAGCAAAAGCAGTTCAGTCCTTTGTTAACAGTCAACAAATCCATGTTTAACCCTCCTCTTAAGGGGTAAAAGGTTATCAGACACTTACTCTTCGCACGTCAGCGGAAAGTTCATTTCATGGTCCTTTCAATAAAGTGATAAAAACGGTAGGTCAGCGCTGAAACAAAAAAGTTTTGCACTCGGTCCGTTAAACCATGTCCTCAGAAAATGTCTGATATCAGACCTTTCCCCCACTGCCCTTTGACCTGTAACCTCCAATTTCACGCTGGTGATGGGTTTCCTCCACATCACACTATACATTGAATATTAAGAGCGTAGGTCGAGCTATTGAGATTTGTGCCGGCAATTCCGTATTGCCTCCTATTCCTTAAGTCAAGGGGAAATATTCCCCTCTATTGACACATGCTTGACCTTTGTCCCTTGACCCCCAAATTCGACATCCGAGACTTTTCGCGATCCTCCCAACGTCCCGAATATCAAGACGTACGTCAGAGCGTTAAGATTTGTGCCCAACTGTTGACGGACGCACGGACAGACGCACGGACGGACAATCATGCAATTCTACAAGCTGCATCTGACTTCGTCAGCTGAGCTAACAAGTGCCACAGTGCGACAGGGCTCATCTGGTGTCTGGTGTTCTGCTGATAAATTCATTTGTGCATAGCAAGACGTCTTATACATAAGTCTTCTTTATTCTTGTTTGACTTTCGTAGCCAATTGGAACAAATATATCAGCTACACTTTCGCACCCACCTAATCGCTATGCATTGCAGACACATGTGCATTGCAGGTTGGCAGGCAACAATTATGATTAGAAGCGTGCCAGCCATGGGCTGCCCCGTATTTTTGCCTACCCACACGAGCATTCACTGATTCAGCCTTCAGTGTGCTATAGACAGACTGCTTTAGAAAATAATATGATTTAAGGAGCGTAAACCTTGTTCAACAAACATTTGCCTTTGCAATTAACATGTGCAACTGTAGCCTCACATTCACACAGGTATGGGCTCTAATAATAGCAAAGCAGTTCAGTCCTTTGTTAACAGTCAACAAATCAATGTTTAACCCTCCTCTTGAGGGTCAAAAGGTTATTCGACACTTACTCTTCACATGTCAGCAGAAAGTACATTACACGGTCCTTTCAATAAAGCCATAAAAATGGTTGGTCACCGCTGAAACAAAAAAGTTTTTTAATCGCTCCGTCAGACCATGTCTCAGAAATGTCTAAAATCTGCCCTGTGCCCCATTGACCTTTGACCTGTGATCCAATTTCAGTACAGTGATGGCTTTTCCTACCATGATGCTATACACCGACTATCACGAGCGTAGGTCAAGCCGTTTAGATTTGTGCCGCAATTCTGCATTTCCTCCCTATACCTTAAGTTATGAGGGAATGTTCCCCTTCTTTTACACGCTCTTGACCTTCGACATTTGACCCAGCTTCGACATCCAACTGCGTTTTCGGATTACCCGCCCCACGTCCCGAATATCGTGACCGGTACGTCGAGTGTTAAAATTTGTGCCCCAGACGGTGAGTTCACGACGGACGCACGAACGGCCGGACGCACGAACGGCCGGACAGACGGACAATCATGCGATTCTACAAGCTGCACCTGACTACGTCAGATGAGCTAAAAATAGTACTCTATTCTTTAGACACATTGCAGTCATAAACAATATTCACCAATATTAAAACGTTTTAAGGTGCACAAATTAGTTCTGCTTAAAAAAAGTGTTATACCAGTAGGGTTCCACACATAAATTGAGTAACAATATACAACATATCATATCAATATATCACATAACATACATGAGTGCTTTCGTGTGTCCCTGCTTGCCTGAATGTATTTGTGTATGCATGCAGACGTGTGCCTGTGTGCATGTGACATGCAACATTGAATCAGGGTAAAAAATACTTTTTTTCCACCAGAGCCATTTTTCTGACTTGTCAAAAATTTACCAGAGCCATTTTTTATGTATTCAGAGCCATTTTCAGTTTCAAATTTTCGAAAAATACGTAATATAATGTACTCTTATTTTATTTGTGGGGAAGGGGGACATCAATGTAAATTGTATGTATTATTAATTCCATTAGTGTGTCAAATTTTCTGTTAATACATGCATGTACCTATAATAAATTATATTTACATTACTACATATCACTAATCACATTTGTAACTCATGATCCAAACATCCTTTGAATCCATTCGCATTCACAATGCCGCCTCCGAGGCTCCGACACCTCTGACCTCTCCTATCTTCTAAGTTCTATCATAGTACCAAACTACCATTCTGTCCACCACTCCCCTTCTCACTCTTCTCTCTCTACATGTACACATGCTTCACTAGTCACTACTTCTGGATTGCTTATTGTTTTGTTACTCTGTAATAAACATACAGAATGAACCACGTTATCTTTTCGTTTGGATGCAAATACATGTTTTTTTATATAAAAATACCACTGTCCAGTTGTTTGTTTCTTTTTTCAGTCTCAAAATAAGAAAGTACACGGTTAATTTGTCACAATCTCACAGATGTGTGCCTGTGAGTCTGTGACATCACATCACATCTGTCAGCATAGTTTATCATTGACTATCATTCATAGTTTCAACAGACAATGTATGAATGCAATTGTAACCACATCATTGCAGATTAATACAAGGCAAGAGCTGGATTCAGCTGGTATTATTGTCAAGTTAAATTTAAATATGAATAAAAGTGTCAACAGTTTCTAGTTCTACACTCTGTTGTATAACTTTTATTATCAATTGTATTTTATTATGCGTCAGTGGTTTGATCTAGCCAGCGCCAGCTGCATAAGCAAGGTTTACACTGACGATTTTGAGTTGCCGAATTGTACGAACTTGGCAGTTTGGCAACTGACAATCGCCAGTGTAAACGCAAAAGTCGCACGTCCAACCGATCGATAGCAGTGAGTCGGAAGATTAGAACATGTTCCAATTTCCCCAACTCGGACCAGGCGAGTTGGACGTTTTTTTTGCCAAGTGGCCAATCAGACAACAGCAATCAGGGGTGTGTCCCTCCACCCTAGGGGGAGAGCACGTTTTTGCTTTAGGCGCCACGCTGGCGGCATGTAATACATGCAAAAATGCGTATCCGCGTCGCCCCGCGCGCACTACGGGTCAAATGTTGAAACGTTTCCCGCCTCGGCCTCGCGGTCGATAACGTAAGAGCTTTGAATATATATATAGAAGGGTTGGTAGAAAGAAGAAAAACACCAACTTGACTGCATATAATCGTCAGTGTAAACCCAGCTTAAGCTGCTGCTGCCTGCACGGTGTATATGTATCGCTCGCTGTACGTGCGTACTTGTGTACATTTCAATTTATCAGGCCACGGGAGCGATTTTCTCTCGGGCGATCGCTCTCGTTATTGTTCTTACCAGAGTGATTTTAGAGCTTACGAGAGCGAAATCGCTCGTCGCTCCCGTGTATTTTTTCCCCTGCATTGAACAGACTTTTGATCTGTTTGTTAGCAAATGTCTTTAATTATACTAAAATGCACAATTTAAATGAGTACTTAGGTACATAAAAGAAAACATACCCTTCTCTTCAAGTGTCTTTGCACTACTAGTTTCCAAGGGTTGGCTTCTTAACACAGTTTCCTAGTAAAAAGAAAAACTACCTCATACAACAATAATTCTAGTTACAATCACAATTCATTACTACTACAGGAAGAAAGAAGTAAAATTTATTTTGATTGGTTTTATAGTTTTATGTGAAGCTAACTCTTTCGAATAGATTAAAATGGGTAAACATAGCTAATGCCAATTATGTACTGAGTTTACCGATTCTGATATCTTCTTGTTCTGACACAGTAGACAATTTTCGGTTGGCTTCCAATCTGTTGGTTCTGTAGGTTGGTTCTCTGTTTCACAGCAATACAGTAATACAGTTACAACCAGTTTCTCTCAGTGTGTGATACATAACATGCCTTAGTTCATGCAAAATCCAGAATAAGTACCTCAATGATCAATCCAAATGCAATTGTAATAAATCTGGTAAAATAATGTTGTTACCTACATGATTATTCGATATTTTTTCATAGGATCCATATACAGTATATTTTGTTACTGATATAAACCACTCACATGCATAGAGAACTCGGCTATTTGTTTTACTTACCCGGAACATGGAATAATTGCTATTATATTATTAATAAGTAAAGCTCTGACTTGTGAATAATGATCAATCTGAATTAAGCAATTACATAAATAAACACTCTCATGTACTTTCTTGCATACATAAATGCACCGCTCGCTCACAATAACACGTAAAATTATAGAAAGTGACTATTGGCCCGACGGTCGGGTGTATAAGAAACCGTTCTCTATAGACCCGACGATCCATAGTTCCATTGTTATCATGTTATTGTTCGTTGTGTAGGCTCAGCGGTTATTAGCGATAATCTATTGAATATTGTTGAAAGAGTTAGGGTTAGGGATAGGGTTAAGGTTAGGGTTAGGGTTATGGAGTAGGGCGTAGGCTGCGGTGCTTTTTGGGATAGCCCTAGAGATTTTACGCATTTGCCGACGGTCGGGCGAATAGACAGTAGCAACATACACACCCGACGGTCGGGCGAATAGACAGTAGCAACATACACACCCGACGGTCGGGCGAATAGACAGTAGCAACATACACACCCGACGGTCGGGCGAATAGCCTCGGCCAAAATTATAGCTAAATTCTGATGAAGCTAAACATAATTGAATAATGATCCCATAAAGTTCTACTGGAGTTCTTCTTTGTATTACTTATAACATGGCAATAGCTTGATGTCTAGAAGTTTTCCCAAAAGATAACATAAAACTTATAGCTACCTGCTACCATTGGCATCTTAAGTACATGTCCGCAACAGAATTAATGCAATCAAAGAAATTAATTATTTTCTATACTAACCATTCAAGGGTTTCATTACATTGTTCCATCGACTTCTTCCGACGATACCCTCTGCTATAGATTCGTAACCTTTATACAAAAGAATGGCAACTTGTAAAACAAACAGGTAGTGTTATCAGAAGCAACAATACAAATATATAATAAAGTATAGTAACAATTAGGTATATATATTTAATTGATATTATACATTGCCACTTCATACTAAGTACCATAATAAATATCAATATGTCATACTACACTATTATGAAGTTAACTCAATATATTTGTAATTGTATACTTTTACAATGGTTTAGGTGTTGATAAGCCCCATAATTAATTGAGTATAAATAAACTGTTTACGACATTACGTGCAAAAATATCAATAAATAAAATGTCAACCCAGCATGATATGACATGCATTTCAAACTTTAGAAAGATCTTGCAAACATCAAAGAATATCATGGTTACCACATTAACATTAAAATAACATCCTGAGTTTTACCATTTTTCACAAACACACATTGTTATTAGGATTTTCACAATTAGGTTGCAGCATTTCATTGTCGTGTAATGGAAATATCTCATTTTCCAATTTTTCATTATTAAAAATCACATAAATCACGAATTACATTATTACTAGCACGAAATTCACTTTTAATATAGAATATGCTTATAGAAAACCTTACATGGGTTAGTCAATGTAAAAAACGGGAAAATTATATTTTTAATGATTTTTTACCGTGATCAAGCAAGAAGAAATTAGATGAATCTCAGAATTATATTTGTACATAACGAACTCATGGCTTAAATATCAACCGCAGTTTTTAAATAACTACACAGAGGCAAAGAGCATTGCAATATGCGACTTACCTAGCATGTATAGAAGATTTTGTCTCCATTTTTGCAGCTCCTTGCGAAAACATCTCCTGTCTTGCAAACAACGAGCTGCTCCACACTCAGCCATATTTCTTCTTTGCCGGAAGTTACACGTACGTCATCACCTTGCACCGGAAATGTGACGTATTGTACCAAACATCGCAACTGCAGCCGCAGGTGAGATCAGAGACACTAATTCTTTAGTTTACACTTACTTAGAACGTTTCAGTAATAAATGGTAAATAAACACGAAATGTATTTAGTAATTTACTACCAATGAAAATGTATTACTCTCTTTCGCCTGTTTTTGCCGATAACTTCCTGTGACCGTGTAAATCATACTAAATGCCGTTGAAATGGTCTTCTGCTGCTGTAGCTCCAAGAAACGGTATTGCTAGGGTTAGAAATACTAGACGTTGACGTGAAATACTAGATGTAGACGTTAGTCACACAGCCTGGTCGGGTTACTGCTGCTGCTGCATAGGTCCAGGTCCTATGACTATGTTACGTAGCCCGACCAGGCTGTGCGACGGATTGTTTATACACTAATACAGCCTGACACCCTTCCATACAAAAAACCTATCACCTCTGCAGATCCAGATGAGACGGGATACTAGAGAAGCGTTGCCGAAAGGAGGTGTTAATCCAAAGCGCTAAGCGCAGA